CTGTCAAATACTAATGCATGAAAATCCTAACCTCAAAAAAATCACCCGTTAGTATTGACGTAATGTAATCAATATAGAAATTTGTGAAAGATGATGATTTCAGATCACCCTCGGTCTCATCAAACCAGTAGCACATAACATCCTTTGTAGCCAGATTATATATTGTGAAGTTGTGAACAGCAAGTTTGGTTTTGTAGTAAGCAGCACTAGCATTTAATTTTGGGCATAATTTTAGAGCTTGTAAATCAGCTGTTATCAAATGAATTTCACCATTAAGAGCCAACGTTTTATCTTTACATTTTTCAGCTCTAACAGTATTTTTTCGATCTATGTGAACATTATATTCTTTTTCCGATATATTCTTAGTTTTAAAACCGCAACATATATTACACTCGTCCTTTTTTGGATTAAATATTCCCAAATTTTCTTTGAAAAATACACTATCAAACACTTTTCTGGAAGCGACAGGTTGCAACAGTTGTTCAGCTTCAATTTTATACGTATTATATAACTGACTCTGAGTATTAAAAACGGGCTCAAGGTATAATTTATTTGAAGAAGCTCTGCAGTAGTGGGAAGGAAGCTTTGGAAGAGAATCTAAAAACTGTTTAACAAAAGTTCTTTTTAGGGATAAATTTGGGTCTTTTGTTACAGGGAAGGGACGTTTACCCGCTGGAAGAATAGTCCAGGAACGAACTGTCCACTCTTTTAAACTCAAGGTATTCAAAAACATGTTCTTGCAAACTCTTAATCTATCATTATTAAGCCTCAAATGATAAGTAAGAGTGTTTGATCGCCTTGACTCGTTCTTTGCTCTCTTTGCCTTAGAAATATCTACAAGGTTATTTACATATGTTTTTTTCTCATTCCAATTCATATTTTTCCAAAAGCTTTGGAAAATCTGTTGCCTGATCTCATCGTTAAATTTATCACAAAAGGAAATTTTACTTTTTGCGCAAGTGGGTGGACAACGTGCAGCCTTTAGTTCTCTTTTCCTGCGAGCAACATCGTGATATATTTTTTTGTGAGTCCGTCTAAATCCCAAATAATCTTCACCCATCATTCTCTTTTTTTTTATTACTTTCCCTTTTTCTCTCTCCTGCTGAACGCTTGCAATTTCGTTTTTTTTTATTTACGCTACCTTCCAATAGTTCTCTTTCCGGTGTGTGATCAACGGAAACCGGCTCACTGAAATCGCAATCCCCTCTCTCACCTTCCATAACTGGTTTGGTACAGTTGTTGTTGTTGGTACCGCATGTCGACCAATCCATTGCTTTGGTATCAACCGTCCCACATTTTGTAGAAACAACACTATCAGAGATCGCTTGAAGTAAGTGCTCATTTTCAACTGGCAAAGTGGAATCTGATTTCCGTTCGCTGAAATGGCTAACAGAGACCTAAGTTTATCAAATTAAAATTAATTAATAAGTAGTTACTTTTTTTTAATAAAAAATACATTTTTATTACCTCGCTAATGGTGTCGCTTGATGTCAATGAGTAAGCTACAAGAGATGGTTTGATTCCTTCAAGCTCCCCGAGCCCTTCTGTTAATTTCAAGAAAGATCAACTATAGGAATTCTTCTTTGCACTTACATATATGTATATATAACATACCATCATATTCATCAGATTGGTAAAAAATTTTGTTTTTATGGTCCCCATTTGAAACAAATGGTGATAAAAGCATTCCACGAGAATGCGGCGAAGTTTTGTTGTCACCCATTAGAATATTTGTATAAAAAACTATTTTTGTTAAACCGCGTGTCAATTCCACAAAGATATACTGCTGACTAAAGACAGTGAAGTCAACTATACTTGATGTTGCTATCACAGTTTTGCTAATGTTCTTATTCGCGGTATTGCAGTATACGGTTTTTTGTTTTTGTTGTTGTCCGAATAGCAAAATTTTTGCCTAAATAAATGAGATTGAGTACCGTAGACATAGTTTGAGAAAATCTCAATTTTTGCCTTTTCCAGTTATACGAGGTATTGCATTTGGCGACGATATATTTAACACATACATATGTCCATATATGTGCATCGCTCATTTAGTATAAAAGTATCATAATCCCAAAAAAGCAAAAATCGGGTTAGGTATGCAAAAATGAACATTAGCTCTTTCTTATGATGTGTAAAAATTTCATTGCTGTAACGATTACCAGTAGCTCACTGGAACAAAGTCAGCCTTATCCTGAGTTTCGCCCGAAAAAAAATTCACCCGAAAAATGGTCACCCGCGCATAGTATGTAAACTCACGGAAACAAATGATAATGCTAATATCTATTAATATTTCACTTGAGAGTATTTGTAAATTCAAAACTTTAAAACTAGTTTTCTCGAGTTTTTAGTTTTTTGAGTTAGGAAAATATTGAAGCGAAACTCAAATAAAAAATTTCAAAATTCATTTGAATTCACCCACGTTAAATATTCAAAATAAAATAAAATAAATAAAAAAAATTAAATTCATGTTCATCAAAATTTTACATGTCGTTATGAAATGATTAAAAATGTCTTTTAATCGAGTACATATTCCCTTTAACAACCACCCTTTAATTCTTTGAAAAAGAAATAAACTTTCTTCATTAAAAAGTCGTTGAATTTCTTCTTCATTAAAATGTTTCCTTATGAAAAGAGGTTATCAATTCGTCGGAATATTTTTTTTTTTTTTTTTTTATGTATGTTGCCGCATAACTTTGGACCACGTCAACCGATTTCGATAATTCTTTTTGCATCAGAAAGGCAGTGTCTCAGAGGTGGTCCCGTACTAATCTGGTTAAGATCCGATCAGTGGATCATGAGATATATATATATATTTTTTTTTTATATGAGAGTTGAAGTCGGTTTTTTTTTGCTAAAAATTACTTGTTTAAATGACATAACACAAAAGGCATTGCATGTCACCAAAAGCATTTTCAACCATGTAATATTTCTCGCAAGGCCTTTTTGCATACAAGAAACAAAGCGTAACAGCCAAGCTCGATGTTGATTCGTTGCTCTCTAGCCAAGGACTAAACGATAGAGCGTAAGAATCAGGGTTGCCGTTTTAGCCCTTTGGTGGCTAGATTTAGCTACAACATACTTTTTTTGGCCACATAAATTTAAAATTGCCCCTAGCCCTTTTTTTAGCCCTTTGGAGAATTTACTTATACTTGGCACAAAAATGTTGTATATGCTTAATTTGATCTCATTTTTTTCATTTATGTAAGAGACGAATTTTTAAACTAAGAAAGACTGAAATATAGACATATGTATCTATATGTATTGTATGTTCCTTACGTTTTTATACATACATACTGTAAAAGTGTTAAGGCTCTTAACTTATCTATTAACGATTTAACTATAGTTTAAAATAGATAAGTTTACTGCCCTTAATATGCTAAATTTGATAAATGGCCCATCAATTCGATTGACCGTGTATGTTCTTGGGTGTGATTGTACCAGCTGCTGGTGTCGTGAGTGGTGAAATTAGCTCAATTTTATAAGTAAAAAGTATTTTGACGGTAATTTCTTGCTCAATATTAGTCAAAGCCGTGTTTGTGGAAGATTAAAGAGCGTGTCAGACGTGGCAATATATTTCGATGCAATAAATTTCGGAAAGGCTGTCAAATTGAGAAATCAGTTGCATGAGCAGTCACACCTGGCATGGAAAGTGTCTTTCGAAAGAGGTTTTTATTTCCGAACGGCAAATTGCAGGAAAAATTTCTGAAATCGCTTTTTGGCTGTTCACACAGCGAACGAGTCTCTGGCAATCTTTCTCGATACTAAAATGCAACCATGGGCGGTGGGGTTGTCGTTTGTTTGCTAATTCTCTTCTAAAAGCGAGAAAATATAGGTTATAATTAACATATATGTCGTGTAGACAATAATTTAATAATTAAGTATATTAAACAAAATAATATATTTCAAGCATTTTTGATGTTTAATTCAAAAATATTTTTTATCATTTTACACAAATTCACGATCAGGGCCACACGGCAACACTCGATTAGTTTGACAGCACTTGCAGAAGAAATGAAAATTGCTAGTGCAGCACGAGCAAGCTGAAATATATTTCCGAAATCGATTTTCGCTCTTGCTGTTGCAGTCCCACCCAGGGTTGCCACTTTGGTAAATTGTTACCAAAATTGGTAGAAAAAATTTGGGTTGGTAAAAAAGTAAATTTTTTCTCATTTTGGTAGATTTCTGTTGAATTATTTAGTTTGAAAAACAAATAAAACTTTTCGTTTCCGTTTTATCTTTCGTAGTTATCTTTTTATTAGAAATTTCTTTCCAATGTTCTTTGTATGTAATTACCCACTTCGAGCCTTCGAAAAAAATTTAATCAACGCATATTATTATCAATGGCAATTGTTAAATGAAAAAAAAAAAACACAAAATACTGGCAGCAAAAAAATTAAAAACTGCCAACGGGAATTTTTAGCTGCAAATTGTTGATTAGTCTCAAGTATTATGGGCTATAAAACTCCATACCTTAAATTGTTAAAAAAATTCAGAGTGAAAATTTCGAAATTTAAATGAAAATTTTTTGCATTTTTCTAAATGTTGTATATAGCTTGAATCCTTGATTTTTAAATGTTTGGCTAAAGCGCAAACAATTGGCGGATTCACAACGGTGTCGTAAGTGTTGTATGTCGTAAACTTTAAAAGCTTAAATAAATGTTTATAGAACTTGAAACCACAACCAACTATTTTTTAGCACTGCGAGAATGCATAATATGACTTTGATGGTACTTTTCGAACCCCCTTAATATATTTTTTATGCATTTAAAGTTTACGACATACAACAATACGACACTTACGATACCGTTGTGAATACCCCAAATATTCTTATAAAATAATACCAAAAAAATTTGGCTTGAAAAATGGTAAATATTAAAAAAAATCACCAAGCATTTTTTGAGTCACTGTATTTATCTATAATAATGGGTGATTTTTTTGAGGTTAGGATTTTCATGCATTAGTATTTGACAG